AAAGTGAGTTTATCTGCATTGGCATGAGAGCAACCCCCCGCACCGTTCCCATGAGCAGAACTTGGTGTGGGAGAGAGAGCCGGGGACAGAGACTGCTGCGCGAGGAAACCCAAAATCCCAGCGTTAGCACTGGAAGCCTCTGGAGAGGAGGAGGTGAAACTGAAACATGACGTTAGTAGTTTATGTAATGATGAGAGTTTGGAAAGTAAAAAGTTTGGGAAGGACACAGGCTGAGGAAGGCAAAGATGAATAGGGTGTAACAGGGAGGGATCCGCCCCACTGGAACAAAAGCAGTGTGCAAAGTGCAGGGAAATGGCACACAGGTGGAGAAATCCTACCAAGCTGAGTGAGAGGGAGCCATCTCTGGTTGCAAAGCAGGTCAAAGGAGGTGATCCTCCCCCTCTACTCTGCCCTGGTAAGACCTCATCTGGAGCACTGTGTCCAGTTCTGGGCTCCCCAGTACAAAAAAGACAGGGATCTCTTGGAAAGGGTCCAGCGGAGGGCCACGAAGATGGTGAAGGGCCTGGAGCATCTCCCCTATGAGGAAAGGCTGAGTGAACTGGGTCTGTTCAGCCTGGAGAAAAGGAGACTGAGAGGGGACCTGATCCAGGTCTATAAATATCTGAGGTGTGGGGGGCAGAATGGCGAGGCCAGACTCTTTTCATTGGTGAGTGGAGACAGGACAAGGGGAAACGGCTGGAAACTGCAGCATAGGAAGTTCTGCACCAATGTGCGAAGGAACTGCTTTACAGTGAGGTGACGGAGCACTGGAACAGGCTGCCCAGGGAGGTGGTGGAGTCTCCTTCTCTGGAGATGTTCAAGACCTGCCTGGATGCCGACCTGTGCGACCTACTGTAGGGAACCTGCTTTGGCAGGGGGTTGGACACGATGATCTCTGGAGGTCCCTTCCAACCCCTACAATTCTGTGATTATGTGTGATTCTGTGATGGGAACCTGGGAAGTTTACGCTAGCAGATGCACTGGTTAAATTGCAGCTGGGGCGCAGGACAAAGAAGTTGTCGCGGTGTTATGATTGTTGGTTATCGGCATTCCACATCGTAACATCACGTAGTGCACCAGGAGTTAAACTGTTAGTGCTCCAGCTCCGGGCACCTGTCCGGAAGAGAAGAAGAGCCACACGCCCCAGGGGCTCTGCGGTCAGAGGGGAGATGTAACTCCTGGCAGGTCACCTGAGGGGCTCTTCTTCACCAGGCCCTCCTCCCTGCTGCTCAGCCAGACTGCGCACTGCACCTCAGCATTGTGGCGAGGCCTGTCCACCTCTCGGACACTCTGTCATCATATTTGATTTAGTAGCTTCAATTCTAATTATGTATTATGTACATATTATGAATTGCAGTGTGTTACCTTGCATTCCGATCCCCTATTTAGTAAATCAGTTTGTTTCTCCTCAGATCGTTGCCACTGTTTTTAATGACTTTGGGGTCCCCTGTTTCCCTTTTCCGGAGGCACGGATCTGTGAAATCCCTCTGCCCTGCTGCTCACAGAGCTGTGCCCATAAACCACTGACAGAGGCTCTTCCCCTCCTATTTGCGTAACATCATTACCTGGTGTAGGGAACCTGCTTTGGCAGGGGAGTTGGACTCGATGATCTCTGGAGGTCCCTTCCAACCCCTACAATTCTGTGATTCTGTGATCTATTCTCCAATGAAAGGAACAATGCTTGTTACCAGAGAAGTTCCACATCACTAGAATACTGTTGATCCACATCTCCATCTGTTGGCCTGCAAGCTGTCTAAATCCACATCACAGAATTGTAGAATTGCTCACGTTGGAAGAGACCTTAAAGATCAAGTCCAAATGCAACCCAGCCATGTAACCCCAGCTCTAACAGCCCTCCGCTAAATCGTGTCCCTGAGCACCACATCCAAACGGTTTTCAAACACATTCAGAGATGGTGACTCAACCACCTCCCTGGGGAGCCCATTCCTATGCTTAACAGCCCTTTCTGTAAGGAAGCATTTCCTGATAGCCAACCTAAACTTATCCTAGTGCAACTTCAGGCCGTTTCCTCCTGTCCTGTCACCGGTGGGAAGAGACCAACCCCGCTCTGTTCACCCAGATTTGGCCACACTTGAACTTCATAGCCGCATTTACAAGCAGCATCTGATGGGATTCATTTTATTCCCAGGGAAAATAAATGAAGATTGCCTTTTAGAAGGAATGCCTGTCAACATCATTCAGCTGCTTACTCACAAGAGTTGATCTGACTTTCCTACAAAAATTTCAGGTAACTGTGAGGCATTGATTGCCTGTGGAAATCAAAGGTGCATTGTTCGTAAACTGAAAGCAGATTCTTCAGAATGTGGTGCTTTTGTTGTTGTTTGTTTACTTGCTTTTAACATACCTAGGATCAGCAGCTCAAAATTTGGAACTCTCTTTTAAGAGCTACTATAGCAACACAGATTTTTATCTTAAGATCAGGGAACACAGCTCAACTGATTCCACTTCAGCTAAATCACTTCAGCATGCTAAAGAAAGCATTCTAAAATTGTTTTCATGAAAAGTATGTAAGAATGCTTTCCGTTTTTCTATATTTTTGTAATACTTGCTCTCCATTTTGCTGATAATAAGAAGGGTATCAGAAATGTCCATTGGGCACACTGGACACAGGACATTCATTCACCTGCTGTCATATGGTTAAACAAAATTTATCTTTGAATTCAAAGGATTCTTACTATTTGAAAATGTTCAAATTCTTCTTTTTTTCTTCTTTTGAAACCTAAACTCATCGGTGGCTCCATCTCATATTTATTTTGCTTCTTGGTTCATGTTAGAAAACCCAGTGGCTAAAATTTGATGTCAGGTGATTTAAGGCAGCAGACTAAGGGAACATGAATTCCTTCTGATTAAATGGCTACATCTCAGCGGAATATTTGTGGTTTGATTCACCAGAACACCAGATGTACCACTGTATCTGCAGTGCAAATTTCTGACACGAGAAGAGAAAAATCCCACAGCACATTTAGGAGGAGTCTAATAATGAAACTGACTGCAACCTCTCTGTCAAGTAAATGCTAACAAGTAATGATCAACTGTGAGTTTTTGTGCCACGCAATCGCGTTCTGCTTTTTTCCATATCAAGGAGAAAAAATCTGGATGTATCTTCAGGTCCTTCCCTAAGAGTATCCAGAAAGATGCAAGATAAACTGCTGAATGCCAGAATTGGAGCCTAGGGTTAAGTGAGCAGAACAAGAGAGATAATGAACTCATAGTACAGTTGTGTTTGTAGTTCTTACTTTGATGATTTGCTATGTGCAGTTGTTTGTTGACAAGATCCCCACGTAAGGATACTTTTCTGCCACCAAAGGACATTTTGTGCCTTGAGAAAACTAGCGCAGTCTGGTGAAGGTTCCCCCCAGAGGCTGAGCATGGAGAACACAGAATTAATGACCATTTTCTCCTCTGTGGCTGTCTAATTTCTTCTCTTTCACTGTACATCAGTTTACTGTCAACAAAGAAAACGCTAAGCTACGAGTGGCACAGTACTGCATTAATATTCCATCAGCACTGTTCAGAACACTGCAACTATTTGCTGGCTTACACGTCAGAATTCACAACCCAGATTGCTGGAAAATATACAGAAAAGGAGTTCCTTTAAATGTTCTCTCATGGTTTTTCAACCTCCTTACTGTGCTAATGGATTGCAGTAATATTATGCCAAGTAATAATTTGGGCATCTTGAACCATCATGATTATTTCTGCCAGCGTCTTGAATTGTGATGTGGAATACAACAGTGTCACTGTAACAGAGGGAAAAGTAGGGAAGGTAAAAGGAGAAAGACTCAAAGTTAACAAGTAATTAGTAAAAACCAAAGGCTGAAAAGTGATTAGCTAGAGGTGAATGAAATCTCAGATGCTCCCTCTAAAGGTAGGCAGTCCAATTAGACAAAGACAGCAGGCTAGATCAGCAATTAGATCTAAGACTAAAGCAAGGATTTCTTCCTGTAATTCTGTCACCTGAATCACAAAGCCCCTAATGTTCCTGGCTATTTTTCAGACCCTCTTGGCTAAAAGTGATCATTTGCATTAGGATGCATCACTCATAGTGTTAAATAAGTAAGATATGATATGTCTAAGTCCATAACAGACAAGCAAGATAAAATTGCCACTCAAAATAGCAAATTATCTACTATTAGACATACATAATTGCTTTGTCCCTTCCCACTGACTATGGAGGAAGACTCAAGTTCTGAGCAATCAACACCTTTCCAAAACCAGCTGAAAGTAATCCTGCCCAGAAGGGCAGTGGGGATTTCAAGAGAATCTACTTAAACCTGAAGTAATTCATGACTCAGAGGAAGCTCAGCTGCACTCTTGGACAATAAATAAATAAATCAGCAGATGAATTAAGGCCTCTGCTTTTTCAGCTGTATCCAATTTAACTAAATTTAATCAACATTGACAAATTTCTTCTTCAGAGTGAGATCAGACTTTGGCAACTGGAATGATAGTATCAGATTAAATCCATTTATCGTGCTTAGGAGAAAGAACGCCTGGTATTCCATGGAAAATAAATCCTGTGCTAATGTCACAGATGATCCAAGCGATGGCAGAACAGCATCTGCATTTAAAATAAGATTTTAAATCTGCAATGCGAGCTGTCTATCTGAGCTGTCAGTCCAACATTGTCCCTAGAGAAGAAAAGAAGCTGTATTTTTCTGGTGAAATTCACATCATCTGTCTTGAAGGCACTGGATGGCAGAACTGCTGAAGGTAGGACGCTTCCCTCAGAATGCTCGCTGCTGTGATAATGAAGCAAATCTGAGGAAGAACTAAGATCAAAATGTATTGGTTCTGACATCCGCAAAACAAGCTGCACAGGAGGCAGAAGCTGTTCCTTAGAGTCCTCTTAGCTGGGAAAAACTAGATTGTGGCAGAGAGCAAGCAGGCACTGTTGAAGCAGAGAAGTGCCCACTGCTCCCCAGGTAGCAAAAGGCTTTTGCTTTTTTGCACTGTAGGTGTTTTGGTTGCCAGCTGGGCTGAAGCACTCTGATTTCAGTGTACCGACTGGCCCTCTGGTTCTTTTGATTCCTCCCAGATGAAGCCAAATGAAGAATGAGAACTGGAAATTTGTCCTCTCTGGATTGTCCAGCCACCCAGAACTGCAGAACTTGCTGTTCTTCACATTCTGCTTGATTTACACCTTCACCATCACTGGAAACCTCCTCATCTTCCTGATCACATTGCATCCCAACCTCCATATGCCCATGTACTTCTTCCTCCGGGTCCTGTCCTTCCTGGATATTTCCACAGCATCCATAGTTGTCCCCAGGATGCTGGTAAGCTTCCAGGAAGAGGACAGCAAAATTTCCTATGTAGGCTGCGCCTCACAGCTCTACTTTGTCATTTTCCTGGCGGCCACCGAATGCTACCTTTTGGCAGCTATGGCCTATGACCGCTACGTGGCCATATGCAACCCCCTGAGGTATGCCATCATCATGAGCAGAAGAGCTAGCCTTTCCCTAGTCCTGCTGTCATATTGCAGTGGTAATGTAGTGTCCGTGGTGCAGACAACATGGGTGTTCACACTGCCGTTTTGTGGGCCCAACAAGATTAACTACTTCTTCTGTGATATCCCTCCACTCATCATGCTCTCCTGCACGGACACCTCCTTGTACGAGAAGCAGATTGTTACAGCCACCGTGCTGGTCATCTTCACACCGTTTTGTCTCATCCTGGTATCCTATGCCTGCATCGTCTCCACCATCCTCAAGATTTCCTCTGCAGAGGGCAGATGCAAGACCTTCTCCACTTGTTCTTCCCATCTCATTGTTGTGTCGCTTTATTATGGCAGTGGGACCTTGATTTACTTACGGCCCAAGTCCAGTAATTCACAGGACACTAAGAAAGTCTTGTCTCTCATATATACTGCTATAATCCCCATGCTAAATCCCCTGATTTACAGCCTGAGGAATAAGGAAGTGAAAGCAGTGATAATCAAAATTTTAGCTGACCTGAGGAAGGTATAAACACACACTGCTGAAAGGAAGCTTTCTCCTCCTCTGTATGTTTGTTTTGGTTTTGGTTATTTTTCTTTCATGTTTCACTCTTTTTAAATGCCCTGATAGCTTGAAATTCTGGAAAAATGGATGTGTTTCAAAGTGTGCTTTGCATCTTTGTGTGTCTTTTGTTCACTATGAGTGTATATTAATTACTAATTACTAATTCAGTATTCATGATTTATGATCTTGTATCAGATGTTGGTGATTGAAGTTTTTCTTTTTCTCTTTTGCTCTTGTGTGACTTTCTTACTCACTCAGTGACTTACTCACACATCATGTCTTCTCCTTTAAATGTTTCAGGCTGGAAAATGAAGACATAATTTTGTGCCTAGACAAAACGAGCATCAGTGCTGACAGAGGAAGAAATGGGCAGAGGAGCGGACAGACAGAACAGACGAAACAGAACAGATGGGTGAAGTCATTCATAGTGTGTGAAGCAGGTGGCCCATCTCAGTGGTTGGAGTGGGCTCTATTTGGAGCCAGCAGGAGTGAATGGCAGAAAAATGTGAAATATGTGAAGCTGTAGAGGAGAATGGATGAGTAACTTTGCAGTTGGATATATGGATGGCCATCCAGGTAGATGAGAGGTAGATGAGTGTTGAAGGAGTGGATAAGAAAATGCAGAATGTGAGGGATAGAAGAAATTGCCAGGTTCATGACTGATAGGTCAATTCAGCACCAGCATTCATGAATGACTGGCATTCATCGATGGTTGCTGAATATTTATTGAGATGAAACAGTGGATGTCAGCACAGTGAATGGAGATGGAGCATTTCAACAGTGGTAGCAGTGACAGTGGGTCACCTCTGCAGTGCAGGTGTTTACGAGTGCAGCATGCAGGCTCTCGCTCATAACTGGTGAAAATGCATAGCTAATGGTAGTGACTCTGTGCAAAAAAGATGTTTTATAACTTGGAATTTGCTCTATCAAACAGTGTTATTTTGCTCTCTGTGTTAGTTTCCATACAAATAATTAGGAGACACTATTTTTGGAGCAGCCTTTATAGATGAGGCCGCAGGCAATTCCTCTTCACTCAGCGGGGCCCAGGCAAGCCAGAAGGTTGGACACCCATGCTTTAGCATATTTACCAGTGTTTATCAATGAGACAAAAGGGCATTAAGTGCACCCTCAGCAAGTAGGCAGACTACACCAAAGGGACATGGACCTGGGCAAGCTTAGGAAATGGGTCTGCATATAAATAAAATGTTAAAATACTTTTATATATGTGCAGTGTCTGATGCACAGATTCAGAGGTGAACAATCCAAATCATTTATTACAAGTTCTCACATCACTTATATACCTTCACAAGTTCTCTTTCTCTAGCTTTCCCATCCACCTTTACATGACAGCAGAGCATTCTACAAAACGCTCTTCAACCGTTCATGCAGGCACTTCTCCACAGAGCCATCAGATGTTCTTTCTTCTTCTAGAGGTCTCCTTGGTTCTCATGCTGTTTATCTTGCTCCACAGCTGCTGTTCAAACAGTTTTTTTTGTATTTCCACATATATTTTTCATTTTCATTTTCATTTTCATTTTCATATATAAAGCACCTATCACCTGACTGATAAACATGCTTTGTAACCATTCTGATGGCAGGGGTAAGCACAGGAGTCAGCCTGTTAGTATCTCAGCATTTCTGTTTCCAACTAATTGAACAAAAAAAAAAAAAAAAACAAAAAACAAACAAACAAACAAAAAAAAACGCCACAAGACTTTACTGCCAGCCTGGCATTCTGGCTTTTAATACTGCTACTCCATCAGGGTTGGAGGGAGACTTATTGTGAATGGCAGTGGTTTGGACTGTAATTGATTGAGGTTCAAAAAGGCCAAGAGCAAGGTGCTGCGCCTGGGTTGGGGAAATCCTTGACATGTGCAGACTGAGAGAAGAACTCGTGGAGAAGGCAATGGGGGTTCTAGTGAATGGAAAGACTTACACGAGCCATGGGTGTGTACCAAGGTCAGCTGCATCAAAAGAGATGTGGCCAGGCGGATGAAGGAAGTGATCGTCCCACTCTGCTCTTCTCTTGTGAGGCCCCACCTGGATACTGCATCCAGACCTGAGGCTGGAGCACAAGAATAGGTGGTTGTCAGAGTGGATCCCACAGGAGTGTCATGAAGATGACCAGAGGGCTGGAGTACCTCTCCTCTGAAGAATGGCAGTTGAAGTTGGTCTGCCTGGAGAAGAGAAGGCTTTGAGGAGAGCAGGTTGCAGCATTTCCCTTAACAGGATCTCATAAAAAAAATAATAGGGATCAACTTTCTACATGGTGAAAACGGAATGGTTTTTAATTAAAGGAGGGGAGATTCAGATCCTCAGCCCTTCTCTCTGCCTTGGGGCACAGCAAGACTGATGTTGAATGACAAAGTCTCAATAAAGTAAGCTGATCAGGGTCGAGTGTATGGAAATATCACAAGCTGAAACTTTCTTTGCTCTAAGTTTCCAGCCTGAGCTGAACTGACAAGAGGATGTGAAAACAGTCAGGATATAGAGCCTCTCTGCTTGTGGAAAGGGGTGATGGAATCAGCACAAGTATCTTTTTACGTGGTCTGACAGCGGTAGGACAAGGGGGGAATGCCTTAAACTAAGAGGGAAGATTTAGATACGGTGTTAGAAGGACATTCTTTATTCATAGCGTAATGAAGTTCTACAACAGGTTGCCCAGAGAAGTTCTGGAAATCTCATTGCCAGCGGCCTCTGAGGGCAGGATGGATGGGCCCTGGGCAGATCTAGTGGGTGACAACCAGTCCACAGCAGCGGACATGGAACTATGTAATCTGTAGGGTTCTTTTCAACCAAAACCATTCTGTGGTTCTGTAAGTCTATGAGTCCATGATCTGCAAACATTCCATCCTTGAGGATTTTAGAAGCCTGGACAAATTTCTTTGTCCAGAGGTTTATGCTGCTTTAGGTCTTTCTTTATCTTTTTTTCCCCCTGATTGTTCAGTTCCTCACACCAGGATATGAATCCAATTGTGCAGATCACAGTTTTGGCCTTAGTGTGGTTGTACCAGTACAGACAGAGGGTGTCTTGGTCAGAGCTTCCGGAGGCCAAAGCTGTTGAGAAAAAGCTGGTAAGAAGATTTTTCTGGGAGAACTTATGCTCTGGGCCTTTCCCATGAAATGCACAGCCAACACCTATATTCCTCTTTCCCTGTGCTTTGTACAGCAGTCTATGAGACAGTCAATACACATCATTTTCTCTTTCTGCACAGTGTTCCCCCTCTACTTTTTCTCTCTGCAGATGTCCATCTAGATGAGTGTCTGGAAGCAGCAAATTTCCTCTTATGTTGCTCTGTAGAGCTCAGCACCTTCAGGATCTGAACTTCCCCATGCTGCAGGGGGTGTGCAAGATGTTGGACAGAGATGCAGCGGGGACAACTGATGAAGAAAGGGAAGGAAAGTAGAGGGAAGGGAAGGAGCTGGAATAAGTTGGGGATGTCATCTTCCAAGGTAGACATTGCTTAGAGACTTACTGGGCATCAGTTTACATGTGATTTGCATCAGAAGTGAATGCATACGGGTCATTTATTTTTTTCCTTTCCTGACTTATTAAAATGCCTTTATCTCAACAGATGAGTTCTCTTGCTTTTGCTCTTCCTATTCTCTCACCATGCTGCCATAGGAGTGGGAGTGAGAGAATGGAAAATTGTACATTCTGTGCAGAACTAAAGAAAGATTTATGCAGAGTATGTGAATTTCCACACTTTTCTATGCCATGCTGGTCCTGGCCATTACGAAACCATGTAGTCATCCTCAACTTACTGTATGTATCAGTGATCGGCACGGTCCACACAGCAGTAATCTTATGGTACCCTGAAGCCAGGGAATACATTTTATATTAATAAGCATGTTTTCATCTCCTTCAGGAAGGCAGAGAGTTGAACATGTCATTCTTCAGATTATTTTCTATGTATTTGTATATATATATATATAGTAATACAAAGGAAGAGAAATACTACCATACAGACTGGGAGAAACAAATATTCCTGAGATGAACATCTTTTGTTTTACAAACTCCTGGAAATGTTTTACAGATTAGATCAGCCAAAAAACACTTCTACTGAGTTATCTTCTCTTCTGAGGGGGTTTTTCTATGCACAGGTCACAGTGACCTGACTTGCAAGTTAAAAAATCACATTCTGTTTTATGACATTTCAGTTATACAAGTTTTGTGTTTGTTTGTTTGTTTGTTTTTTAAATGAAATTAATCTCTATTCCTGAAAAAAAAAAATCTTTTGCATGTATGTGCTTTATGTATAATCTGCCTTTCAAAGTACAGGATGTGCTGCAAAAAGGTTCAGTTCTGATAGACAAATGTGGAGAAAAACAAAATCCTTCATTTAGTGCCATTGGCTTTCATTTTGCATTTTCTTTAAGTGACACTGACCTGTCTTGGTTTCACCTGGTAAGCACCACATCCAGCTGCGCAGCCCTTCCTCACTCTCCCCTCCCCCAGTGGGACTGGGGAAAGAATCTGGGAAAAAAAGGGAGAATGTGCAGGTTGAGATAAAAATGGTTTACTGTGATAGAAAAAGAAGAGAAATAACTGTAATGATTTTATATATGCTGCAATTTCAAAAAGATTCAAGAATCTTAGCCAAAATTCCACGGTATATTCTGCATTACCTATGGAGTTGTGTCCAACAGCTGCGTGTTAATGTAAAACACATTTGAGACAGAATTCATCTGAGTGGGCAGCCAAAGTGCAAGGCAGTGGTTCAAGGACTTTGTTCAGTCAAGACAGAAGACGAGGCTCTCCAGGGAGTGATTCATCCAATGATTTTAGCCATCAGTATTTAGAAAATAGATCACACTGCATAGATCCTTTCTGGCCATGCACAAGGCAAGCACCTGTAACTTAGAAGTATAAGTCAGACACCACAAAGACTTGGAAGGATTTAATCCACCCCTGGAGTAGTATTACTTATTTCCTTTGTAATTGTCTTCCACCTTGGAAATTATGCTGACTTGAAATGATCAGCCAAGCAGTTTTACAAGGCTATGACAGAGCAACGTAAGTTACCCTAAATTCCAGAGGGGGCAAATCAGATGCGGATGTGGACATTTGGATTTAGATGCCTACAGAGAAGCTTTGTATCCCATAGGTCAGTGTCTCTATGCTTGATACAG